CCCCAAAACCCCAAAACCCCAAAACCCCAAAACCCCTGAGTGCCAAGCAGATACTGAATTTTTATGAATGATTAAAACTCACCCTGAAAATCGCAGTAACCAACAGATTTGGGATTAACGAAAGGATTGAGCTTGATAGAATTCTTTTTGACACGCTCAACAACTTGTGGAGCATTTCCTGGTTCCTGAGAGAATGCAAAACCCGTGTCTAAAATAGTCAGGCCAAATCTTACGAATCTTTTTGGAGTTTTGAAGATTTTGATGATCAAATGTTTTTCTTCTACGAAATAAGATAAACAAAGATACCTGTTAAATCTTGTCTGAACCTTCTGAACAAAGATGATGAATCTAAGTCTGATCAATCTGTTTATGTAGTTGAGTCCGATATCAATTTGGGCAACTGCAAGCATGAAGAGAATGAGGATTAAGTATAATTCAAGTGAGGTTAGAGTGTTCTCAAGCACTCCGTATAAATCACTCATGGTTAGGAAGTTTATAACAACCGTTCCTGCTAGGAATAAAAATATTGACATCAGGAATAAGAGAATTGAGATTATCGTGTGGTTATTAGTATCTGTGAGGATTTTGATGTTTACGATCATGACTACTCCTAGATACACAAAATTCCCTTCCATCCAGAATGACCCTCCCTGCTGCTCAAATGGGAAGAAAGCAAGAACGCAGAAGAGCATTGACTGCCAGAGAGCAAAGAAAATCCATCTAAAGAATTTTCCTAATGACAGAGACTTTTTGACAATGTAAATGTAATACTTTGGGTCTTGAGCAAGCTCTTTCTTTGGGTATTCATAATCAAAAACAGCGAACCACATTATTGGAAATGCTGTAAATACAACATTGTAAAAGAGATAGAGCCATTGCTCATAAATAGTCAAACCTGAGAAGGCACTGACTATTCCAAACCAGAAGATACAGAGGACAAAGAGCATATTCTTATAGAACATGTATCCTACTACATAGGCATTTCTTCTATTGCACTCTCTTCCATGTACTAAGAGGAGGGTTTTAAGGAATTTGAACTGTCCGATGGCATAATCGCTTGCTCTTGCAGCTTGCTGGCCTTCGAGGCCACTAATTCCTACTCCAATATCAGCTGTTGTTATCATATTTACATCATTTGCACCATCTCCAATACTTAGTGTGGTCTTTTTAGGGTATCTGTCTTTCACAAGTTGAACTATTTCAGCTTTTTGCTTCGGGGAGACTCTTCAAGCAATGACTACCTTCATCTTATCAGCTAATTCTTGGAATTCCTTTCAAAGATCGGAGTTATTTGTGATTTTGAGTAGAGAATCTCCTGCTACGATCAGTCCATGACTTCTAGCTTCACTTTGTTCAAACTCTATATTTATTGATGCTAGTCTGGCATCAATATCACTGGTGATGATATCATCAACTATGTATTGGTCCATGTCATTACTAAGGACCTTACAGGAGTATCCTATATTGATAGCAGTCTCGATTTTATCTCCAGTCAGAACCCAGATTTTGATTCCCGCTTCCTTAAGGATACTAATGGTATCAGCGACTTCATCTTGAAGCTTGTCTTCAATAGCTGTAGCTCCGATGAGCTCGAATTCCCATTCAATTTTTTCAGAGATTGCTGCAATCTTTTGGTCTCTATTTTCAGTAGAGAGGCAGGCTTGTTCATATTCTTTGTTCCATTCTTGGTATTCTTCCTCATCAATGGTCTTCTCTGCAAGGAGCAAAGTCCTGAGGCCTTCGCTTGCGTAATTTTGGAGGTAGCTAGTAGTCTCAGGAATGTTGGTGTTGTCTTTTAAGCGTTGCTCAATGATGGAGTCCGCACCCTTGCAGAGAACCTTGATCTCTCCATTGGGCATTCTGACAATGACAGACATTCTTTTTCTCGTGCTATCAAACTCAATTACGTTCAGTAGCTGGTACTTCTCTTCAGTACCGTCTGGGAGCTCAAGGATGATATTGTTTTCAGAGTCTCTCTGCTTGAAGAAATACCCAAAATATCTAGCAGCGTTTACTAGAGCCAGTTCATCAGGTGAGCTATGAGGTTACAAAGATTAATTACCTTGCATTGTAGAGTAGCTTTGTCTCCCCATTCTTTTCTTTCTTTTCGATTATGACTGTGTGGCACAATGCTAAATGCAAAAGGAAACTTTTGATCATTGATAGATTTTCACAACTGGGATCATTAAAATCTTTGTAAAACTTCGGGTCGTAGAAGTTAACATTAGTGATCTCTGGATTAGAGTCTTGGGGAGAAAGATCCTGCTTTGATTCTTCCTCTTCATCTCCTTCTTCATGTTTGAGATCTTTCTCACTTAAGCCGTAAGAGATAGATCCTATTACCATCTTTTTGAATTCCATCACATTTTGTGTTAAAGTACCAGTCTTGTCAGAAAAGATGTACTCTACTTGGCCGAGCTCCTCATTAAGATTGGACGATTGGGCCTTGGTTGGCATATCTTTGGTTTCATCAAATATGGTATGATCCCAATTGATAAATTGTGCTTGAATGAACTTCACTATTTCTAGTGTAACTAGTAAAGATATCGGAACAAAATCTCTATAAAGTTTAGATTCAGGATTACCAAAATATTAGCAGCCATGATGCAAATGTGACGAGGAAGTTAACTACAACATTATTTGCAATAACTCCTGTGTCTAAGCTCCAAGCTAGGTACTGTTCTGTACTGTCCCTGTATGTCTTAGCCCATATGGTGGAATAGATTGAGGCAAACAAGCAGATGACTACCTGGAAGATAAAAGTGTACACGATAAATCTGTTTGTCAATTGCTCTATTTTTGATGTCTTGTATCTACTATCTGGGGAATTTTTCATAATTTTACTCTCATGGCCAGTGTAGACAACAACTCCATAGACATATTCAGTGTTCCTCAAGCTGCTTCCTCTTAGAAGTATCTGGTTGGCATCTAATGGGACAGAATCTTTATTTAAGCTTTTTCCGGTAGAATCAAATTCTGAATTAGGAGGATTAAAATTTAGCTTTCCTTCAAATTTGTAGAGAAATTCGTTTGGAGCTTGACATGAAATATCTGCAACAAAATTTTTTAAGTCTTCCCCCTCTTTGATAATCTCAAGAATTTTCTTATTAGCCATTTTATGCTTCATGTTAGTTTCTCCATCAAGATTTTTAGTCTCAACATAGCAAATTCCTTGAGGATCATCTGAATTGAGCAGGACCATATCTGCTGGGAAATATTCGTCTCATTTGATTTTACACAGTTGGCCGACCTTGACTGACTTCCACTTGATATCTTTGAAGTGTTCCTCTCCTTCTCTGGGTTCTGCTTCCTCCTCTTGAGTACCTTGAGGAAGAACCAGGACTATAGGACATGAGACAATTTTGGAAGAAATACCAACCTTTTCTATTATTCTCTGCTGTATCAGAAGAATACCTTTTGTAATCTTCTATGATATCCTTGACCATAGAAACTAAGGTTACGAATCCTAGGGGGAACAGAATCGTTGGCTGCCCTTGTGTGATTGAGACAGCTGGGATTCATTGCAACACTACCATCGCCAAGAAATACACGTTTGCATATTTAGTAAACTGCAGGAACAAGTTCTTTGGTAGAAAATTCAGGATGGTATACTTAGAGGTTTTTATAAGATTCCCTCTAAACCCACCATTACGGTGATCTCTGAACTCGATGCCTGGATTGATACAGATATCCCTCCACTGATCTTTGCGGATAACTATTGTCTCTTTCCTCTTTCTTCTAGTCGGTTCAGTCTGGTGTGTGTCTTCCTTCTCTTCATCCTCATCAAATCTGACTCTAAGTAGCTTAGTTTGCTCTTCATTTAAGGAACTTTTGAATAGATCTGAGTCTTCATCGTCACCAAGCAGCTGTTCTTGAGTATCTGGTTTCTCCATTTTTTATCAAAATTGACGTTTTCAATTATTATTGTCTCAAGAGGGGTTTTGGGGTTTTGGGGTTTTGGGGTTTTGGGG